ACGGTCTTGGACTGTGACGGTGGACGACCCAATACCGAAGGGGTCAGTCCAGAAGGTGTTGAAGCATCACACCAAAGCCCCGCGACGAGAGCGGATTGTAAAGCTGCGATTGATCGAGAGAGAGGTTCAGGCCTCCAGAGTCACAGCCAAGGGCGAGTACATGATCCAAAACAAGCATCGCGCTTGGATCGCTCCCAAAGCGCGTCCGCAGCCGAAGTCATCGGGATCTCGTGTGAAAAAGGAGTTTATCGAGATCCACTCCGACCAAAGGTCCAAAGAGCATTTCGTCCGGCTTAACCGGCCACGAGCGGATAACATCCGAAACAGTGGTGCGTATAAGCGCGGATGCACAGGGACAAGTATCGGCGCGACGACAGGACATAAAGCCTGGAACCGCTTATTACATGAAGAGAAAGCCCGAGGAGCCGGGGAACGTGAAGTACACGTCCAAGCCAACAGTTCGCTGACACCGTATCAACGCATGCGCATCAGTGTAACTAGTTCAGGAGAAGTCCCAAACACCAATCGTGTGATGCCATTTGGATGTTTGGTTTTTGCCAGGCCGACTGATGGGTACTTAGAAAAGGTCAGAGAAGCAAACGCTCGTCACTTTGTTCCAGGCATTTACTTGACCCCAAAGTTATCTTCGTTAGGTCACTTCGTTGCCTTCGAAGGTTCACAGGATGAGACTGTGGTTGTGCCTGTTCGAGACTTGAAGATTGCCTCGCCGATTCGTTTTGTCGCTGGACTTGGGATGTTGTGTGAAATTCCAAATTCCAAGAGTGGAGTGAAGCCAGACAGGATTGAAAGACTACCGAATGATCTTTCGAAACCCCAGAAATTGGTTGATTCGCCCATCCATGAAGGGGAACCAGCTTGGTATTGGAGTGAAGTGAATAAGACTTCGAGATGCCCAGCTTGTTCGAACGGGAGTGAAACAGGTCATTCAGTGAAGTGTCGGAACCGTTACAAAAAGTATCTTGAAGAAGAGTACAAACGGATAGTACCGATCGAAGACGAGTCGTCTGTGCCCGTCGTGCCTGAAGGATTGGAAGAAGGCTTGGATACCGAAGGAAAGCCTGAATCTCAGCAAGAGTCGGGAGAAAGAGTTCCAGAATCAGAGTCAGAACGAGAGAAGAGGAAAAGAAAGTCTATCGATGATGAGTGGGATAGATTTCATCGCGAGCATGAAGAGAAAGAGACTGGAGAGAGATTTCCAGAGTTTGATGATGTTCCGTTCCATGCGCCAAAGGGACAGGAAGCGGGTACCGAACCGACGCCAATGCAAGAGGATCCAACGAATCCATATGAGAACGGAAAGAATCCGGAACCTATCGAGGATGATCGGATGAGTGAAGGCTATGAGCCAACAGAAGTACCGGAAGGGTACAGAGCACCGGAATCACCCGGGGAGAGTCCCATGGACATTGATTTGTTCCAGAAAATCCCAAGGAGAGGAAAGAACCGAAATCATGACCATTGGGAAGTTGACCTTGACAAGCTTGTGTTGAGAAGAATTCACCACAGAAGTCGAAAATGTGTTTTTGCAGCATCATCACTGCCATTGCCGATGCCTGAGGATCAGCTGGTAGGTATTCAGAGGACGTACTACGTCGATGCTGTTGATGAAAGGCCAGTCGATGAGATTCCAAGGGACCAGTTCAAGGTCCATGTCAGCGAGTTCGGAACCCAGACCGCGCCATTGAGGCGTCATTGGAAAGGGTTTACCGAATTGCCAATCAAGCAGCTCTACATGTATGATCATCAAGGTAATGCCATTGCGAGCTTATCAGATCTAGGTAAAGAGTTGTGGGAAAAGGTGAAAGACCCCTTGTCAAGATGTTCGGATGATGAGGTTGAAAGGTTCTTGTCATCAGTTCAAGAGGGGGTACTTGAGTATAGCAGGAAGGTTCCAAAGGAAACCGAGGAGTCCAAGTTCGACGCGAAGGCCGATTCGTGCAAAGTGTGGTTTGGAGGTAGATGGATTGTACTCCGAAAGCCATCAAGAGCGACTTCAGATATAGGTGAAGGTCCATTAGATGTGGATGCCACGTTCGAGGGAATGCACACAGAGGTCATTGCCCTAGAGAAGCACAGGACAGGTCAGGTCGTGAATAAAGATGAAGCGCAAGAGTATTGCAAGATGCATGGTATCCGAATCATCTCAACTCGATGGGTAGTAGTCAATAAGCATGATGCTATCAAAGGAGACATCGTTCGATCGAGGCTTGTAGTCCGTGATTTTGCCACAGGTCCGTCAGCAGCCGAGTTGGGCGTTTCAAGCCCTACAGCGTCATCAGAGGCGTTGAAGGTTGTGTTGTCTTATCTTGCTCAGAAATCAAGTTGTCGAAAGAAATCAAAGAAAGGAGGAGTAGGAAAGACAGCATGGGTTTTAGATGTAAGGACAGCATTCTTGCATGCCCCCGTGATTCACCCAGCGGTCGTTTCGTTGCCGACTGGGATGGAAGATGAAGACGGAGAGCCTTTGTTCGTCATTCTTGAGAAAGCGATGAACGGACTTCGTTCTGCAGGAATGTCATGGTATCGTCACCTAGCCGATTTGTTAGATCAAGAAGGTTTGACAGCATGTGTGACGGAAAAGACAATCTTCGCCGGAAGATATCGAAAAGGAGTTGCAGAGACGGAAGAGGAGAATCACTTGATCGTTTTGATGTACGTTGATGATTTGTTGGTTGTCGGAGACGATCGAAATATTCAGAAGCTCGTTGATGAATTATCAAAGAAGCTTAGACTGAAAGTCACCGGAAAGCTTGAAGAAGACAGAATTCGTTTTCTGGGAAAGGTGATCGAAAAGGAAGAAGATGGAACGATTGCCTTGTACATGGAGAAAGAGTACTATGAAGGTATGATGAACTTGTATCCAGGAGGAAAGGAAAGTCAAGCGACCCCCAATTTGTTTCAGCTTTATGATCGTGATCGAGAAGAGGATCGGAAACCGTTGTCACCCGAGGCAGCAGCAACTTTTCGAACCGCACTAGGTAAGCTAGGTTGGGTAGCTCAGTCGAGACCTGATCTTTGTTGGTTGTGTTCGATGCTTGCCCGAGGTCAATCTCAGCCGCTAGCTGTACACGAGACTGCGATACGTGCGAGTATCCGTTACACCCGATCAGTAGCCGATCGAAAGTTGAAGTTCAGGAGCTATGAGTACTCAGGACCACCAAGGATTACGACCTATGTCGATGCCAGTTGGGCAGCCGAAAAGTCCACCAATAGGAAGAGTACTTCAGGAGCAGCCATCTTCGTTAGTGACTGTTGTGTGAAAGCATTCAGTAGGTTGCAGCAGAGTGTAGCCTGTAGTTCAGCCGAGGCAGAGCTATATGCTTTGTTCGAAGGAGCGAAAGAGACTATAGGTATTCAACATGCCGTGGCACATGTCTATGGATGTCAAGCTGAGGAATTGCCCATTCCAGGTTTGCTTACGGATTCGATGGCAGCCCGAAATGTCACGGAGATGTCAGGGTTGTTGAGAAGATTAAGACATATAGACATTCGGATCTGTTTTTTGCAAGATGCAGTCTACAAGGGAGTGATTTCCATCAGCTTTGTCCGAGGTACCGAGAATTGTGCCGACTTGATGACCAAGGCATTGTCGAGAGCTGTGACTTTACAACATATGGAGACGATCGGAGTTGTCAGAGCATTTCTCATTTCATTTGAAGTGCCGTATGACTGGATCGGGAGATGGTTGTGGGTTATGGATAAGGTCACATGTACCGAAATCCTGATTGTTGAGTTTTGCACATCACCGGAGTCCGAGATGAAAGAAATCGGAAGCCGTACGGAAGGTGTTGAAGTCTTGACTGTCACTGAGGCGGATGACGGAACCCGATCGGACACGATCGAGTCAGTTCGGGAGCAGATGATAAGCCATCGGAAGAGAGGAAAGCTTGTTGTCTTGTGGTCGTCGATTCCGTGTACAGGAGGATGTCCGTTTCAGTACATTTGTATCAAGAAATTTGGTCAGGACTATATGGGTCATCTTCGAGAGTTGTACCAGATTCAGAAGAAGCTATGGAAAGGTTTCTTACGGATGTCGGAAGTAGCCGATTTCGTAGCGATTGAATGGCCGAAGAGATGTGCTTTTTGGGGATGGAATCAGACTAGAGATTTTCTGAGGAAACGAAAGACGTTTTCAACATTTGTGGATGCTTGTTCAGTCAAGTTGAACCAGAAAGGTCAGTTGGTCAGAAAGACCTGGAGGATTGAGACAGATAGTACTCGGTTGTTGGAAAGCCTGAAGGTTTGCGTTTGTGATGGTCGTCATGATCATTTGCCATCCAAGGAAGTCAATTGGAAGGAAACGCAACACTACCCCAGGAAATTTTGCGAGCTAATCCTTAAAGGATTTAAAGCCGAATTAGAATCATAATAGCCAAGTAAGTCTTGCACGTTGTCTGAGCCGAATGGCACGTTTTTGCGAGCACTTTCAATTGCACATTTCGAAAGAATCTTGGTTTTTTGTTGCAGACTGTGAGATACAGCTTTTCTTGGAATGAAGCTTATACCATCCGAGGTATGATGCCGGATGCGGAAACGGCGCTTGCGATGCTGAGCCTGGAAGCAGCGACCGCTTTGGTCTTTGCAGCCGGTTTTCTTTTGGGATGCCTGCTGACCTGCTGCTGCCTGCGGTGTCGGAAGCATGCTGAGCCTGAGAGCCAAGTGACTTTTAAAGTCGATATGCCGAAGAGCTATCCAGTTCCAAAAGGCATTGAGCAATGCTCAAAAGTATATTTTTCAGTGAGTGGGAGCAAGGTTCATTTGAATCCAACTTGCTCGGGCATGCACGTACCTATGTCGAAAGATATTTGTGCCAAATGTCTGTCCTCATTGAAGAAGATTAAGAAGGCTTAAAGCCAGCCAGTTCGTTTCGAGCTTTGTGCCCAAGAGGGGGTGAAGAAATTCCATGTCGGGATGTCCACCTCGCTCGATGCTTGCAGTTTGCGATGCATAAATTTCGTTTAAGTTTGTTTGTGAAAGATTTGGAACCTGGCGGTAGTATAACATTTTGTTTCTTAATTGTTTGAAAGCGACTTGTAGCGTAGTCGGAAGTTTTGAAAGAGTTCTTTGTGTGTGGAGATGCTTTCAGAGACTTTTAATATGTTTTTGTGTATTCTTTGTATAGTTTAGTGCTACGGGATATGTTTTGGCTCAAGGCCAAATTCGTTTGGCTAGTGTGAGAAAAGGGTGCGAGTGTCTGAGAGTGCAGCGTTTGAAGTTTTCCGAAGTATTCGGAGGTTTGAGAGAAAGGTTTCGTACCGTACCGGACGAGTGTGAGAGCATGTTTTCCGATCACCAACCGTCGGGTTTGGATGCGAATTCGTAGCCCCACTTCCTCTTCCAGAAAGTTGTGCCCATCCAGTATCAGAGTGCTCAAGTTGTTTGAGCAATGGTTACTCCCGGGCACCCCCATTCTCTCCATGCGTCCCAGGTCGCGAGCTCCACTGCATCTCGCTGCAGATGCTTTTGCGCATGGAGAGCTGTCCGGATTTGGGGGTTTCGTGCAGCTGCCCAAGGGCCGCAGTGTGTGGTTTTCCGAACGGTTTTCACTCACCGACCTTCAGCCTTTAGGCTTTTCCTTTAAGTCCGATCTGCAAAAGGAAATCTCCGCTCTTGAAACTTTAGCTCAGTTCATGCTTTTCTTTGTGGTCACACGCCACTTGAAGCACGCCCGGGTCGCTCTGACATTGCCTTCGTTGAGCGACAACACCGGCGCAGAAAGTTCTTCAAACCGCCTCTTCTCCACTAATCTTAACCATGCCCTGATCTTGGAAAAAATGGCTCTGTTAAGTTGCAGTTTTAACATGTTTCTCGATGTTTCCCACATCGCAAAAAAACGACCAGGCCGATGCACTCAGCCGATGGGAAGCCCATCTTCCGCTTCCGTTCGGTTTCACCGTAGCTGATCGAGAGCGGGTTTCACTCTCCACACTGTGGAACGTAGGCAGCGCCGCAAAGTTCTTTCCCGAAGGGTTCGCGTCCACTTGGGACATTCCTACCTTCACTGCCTGAAAACTAATCACTCTTCTCGGGTTTTTTGGTTGCGCTCCGTTTCCAGTACATCTTGGGTGAAAACTCCCGGAAACGAGACCTCAAAGCTTTGCATTCTCAGGCAGCGAAGACGGGAGTGTCTGTGCAGCTTCTAGAACGTGGAGGTTTAGATGCACGTGTGTGAACGGCTCATGTACTTGTTCATGTCTGTTTGCACGTGCTCTAACGGAACCGGTTTGGCTCGAAGCGTGCATCTGAACCAAACGTTGGCTTTGGGGGGTAGCGTTAAGAAAATACCTCACCCTCCCACCCCCTTATGGACTAGTTTTCGGTATCAAAGCCTTAGCTTGGCGCTTTGCCTTCCTCATTTGTCAGTGTTCACCTACCCCACTATGAAATCTCGAAGGTCCATCGATCTTCAGTGCAAAGATCGCGCTGGTCTTGAAAGATAGATCAGAGATCTGGCCGGGTGAAAACTCCCGGAAACGAGACCTCAAAGCTTTGCATTCTCAGGCAGTGAAAACGGGAGTGTCTGTGCAGCTTCTAGAACGCGGAGGTTTAGATGCACGTGTGTGAACGGGGGGGTGTTCGAAAGGCGTTCGGCAAGAGATATATAAGTGGAAGAAACGCCTGCAACCAAAAAGTTCAGGAAACCGTTTGGCACTTTCTGGCGTAAAGCATGTTTCGCTTGAGTCGTAAAGCACCACCCTTTTATCAAAGCAGCCCGCGAAAGCATCGACCAAATTTGCATTTTTGGTTCGCATTGCAGCTGTTTGGAACATGCTTACCTTGAAGATTCCGTGGCATATTTTTGCTCAAGCAGAGGTAGTTGAATTGGTGTGACGTGCCCAGCCAAGTTCTCAATCCTTTTTCAAAGGGGGTTTCTTGGGACTACGCTTCCCGAGGCCTTGCTGGAGGACACCAGGTTCCATGCATGTTTCGCAATTCCCGGGGGCCTACCCCCAGGCTTGGACGTTTTGGTGTGGAATTTGCATTTGCATTTGCGCTGCCTGACATGGCGAAATGATCAAGATTTTCAATGTATTTCCCTTTGTTTTTCTGGCTGATCTTTGCCCGGGAAGCCATTTGCTGAAAGCTCAAGCTGAGCTTTGATATGCAGTATCAGTATATAGTTTCAACCTTTCGTTCTGGCAGTTGGACATGCTATCCACCGCCGCAAGGAAGTTGAGCGACCAGATCTCATTTCAGCCCAACACAGACACACACACACACACACATACACACTTTTCTGTACAGATGCTGTTTGTCACAAAAATATGGACCTAGCGCTTGCTGCTGTGCAGGTGTGCTGTCGAAGTGTATTGAGGTTTTGAGTGGAAATCATTGAAATGGACACAGAAAGTGTTGAAGTCATGGCGTACATGCGCTTAGCATTGTCAGTTGGCAGTTGCTTGCAAAACCCACGAAGGAACCAGTCTGCGAGATCTCATGATAGGCCGGCGGCCGGGCGAGATCTCAAGAGATCAGCGCTTTCTTTTTGAGCCAAACTCGCGACGTCAGGCTCGGCCCATGCTCTTCGCTCGCCAATACGGCAGGTGCGCCGGTGCGCTTCACAAAAACAATATATTTTGCGCACTTCACAACTTCACGCAGTTCACAAGAACTCCTGATTTTGTTGTTCAGGCCAAAGACACTCATGTTGGCCTTGAGTCTCGGGATGCACGGCAGCCTTTAGGTGGACTGATCTTCAGTGCGAACGCCACTGTGCAGCGAAAGACTTGAATTCGATCGCCAGGCGTTGCCAGAGTTCCCAGAGGCTCTGTAGCTGCAGTTGTGTCGATCATGTGCCATGGTGCACACGCGGTCGATGACTCAGATGCCATTTTGCACTTGTCCGAAGCTTGAATGCTCCGCTCTGAGGGTAGCCGTCGACATTTGAAGAAACGGTGCAGGCCTCATGGTTAGCTGTTCAACCCAAAAGCAGTAACTGGGAGTTCTGAGGTTGGAGCAGATCGGGAAGGCCATGCAACATGCGACTCTAGTCGCCCTAGTTTGGTTTCAAGGATCGCCACTGAACGTCCATTCTGCAGGCTGCGGAAGAAACGCCCACAGAGCCAGCAGGTCAATTTGACTCAGCTTCCACCCACTTCAGCTTTGCTTGTACTGGGTCAGAACTACTGCCCATTCAAGTGTCAATGCCTCCAAGGTTCCGCTGCGGTGATCTCTGGTTCTCAAGGCTGACAAGTAGCTTTTGATTTGTGAGCGAGAAATCGATTTTCAGCACTGCAAACCAGGTGTGCTCGATCGACTCTGGCAAAACCAGAGGCTGGGTGATCTCTAATGTGCGATGTAGTGATTTTCTATTGCAATGGAAGCTATTGCAATGAAGTGCAGAGCCAATAAAAGCAATGTTCTGTGGTTGTTCATTTTTCTTAAAAGGGAGTGTGTTGTGTTGTCCGATTCCATATATTTACAATATATAATGTTATGCTTGTCATGTCCCGAAGCATGCATGCATGCTGATCATTTAGTCAATTGCTGGTGTTACATTTGTACAGGCAAAGCATGACTGCTGGGACCCTAAATCTGCATTGCTATAGGCGATAGTCAAGCAGCTGAAAAGACCATAACACATCAGCCGCAATCCTTGAAGGTTTTGTTTGCTGGCATTGTCTTTGCAATGCTCTTTGGCACCTATGTTACGCTGTCCATGGGACCCGTGGCTGGTGCAGAATGGTTCGCCCTGCATTTTCTTTTAGCGTTTTGGCAGCATATCCGTAGATATTCACAGGCCTTGGGTGACTTTTTGGCCAGGTTTGCATGCTATGTCATTGAATACTCACTCTCTGTGGACAATCTTTTTGTTTTCATTGCCCAGAGCTTGGATTTTGCGGTGCAGCTAGCACTTGCTGCTTGAAGCTTTGCAGGTCATTTTCGACTACTTCAAAGTCACCGGCGAACGCCAGCATGGCTCTGAGACTAAGTGTCTAAGAGCTCACTCTGAGCTTTTGTCAACTTGAGGATTTGCGAACTTTTTCTTGACAATCAAAGGGCTGCGGTCAGGTGAAATGTACAAGCTATACTGTACAGTTCTACATGTGGTCTATGCTGAAAACTCTTCACACTCCTTCTCGGTAGTGTGAGCTCCCATCAGCTGTTTTAGTTCACTCTGCCGCCATCATAGTTCTGTTCCATCTGTTTTCTCTGAGGAACGGGGTTCCTTGAGCCTCTCGAATTCACTCTGTCTAACATCAATTCAAATTGGACTGCTTCAGCACTGACTGTGTTTGCTCGAGCAAAATGTCCTCTCTCTCTATATAGATATATAAGTACGTCGTGTTCTTTCTTCCATTTCGCGATTTTGTTTTCAAGTCGCCACGTAGTACTTGGTCTTGTTCTTCCTCATACTCCATGCTATTTGCATATTTTGAGTTTCCACTGTTGAATGATGTTGACCCTGGTCCATCTGAAGGAACTGCTCCATGAGTCGCTGCCTCTAGTAGTAGTTCATGTCCATTATATCGCCCTTTTGTTTCCCTCAAATGCTCTAGACTCCCTCTTGCTAACTAATTTGCTGCATTTGTTTCAGAGATCATGTCATACCCTGGTCTCTGCCATGATGCTACCTCATCATCTTCCACAAAGCCTCCATTGAGAATCAATCCACAATGAATTCTCCTGGCATAGCCTGTAAGCTTGTCTAATTGGTGTTCTTCTTCTTTCTGGTCAATCATATATTCAATCTCCACCATCCTGAGTTCTGCTTCATTCACTCTGTTGCAGAGGAAATCTCCCAACGGTACATATCTATCTTCAAATTACCTGTATAGTCTCTACATTGCAAAGGTCATTGCTGCAAAACCAATGATAATGATCATGATTCCGATTTTCCAGTTTCTATTGGAACCTTCCACTTCCAACCTGAGCTGGCCAATCTCTCTCAGGAATACACTTGATTCTGTAACCATTGGCTGCAAGCCATCCAAAGTCACGATTCTGACATTCATCTTGGCAGTTTTGTTGACCTTGCCTGCAAAGTTCTTTTTCTGCTCATACGGCTTTCTCTCAGGCTCACCAACTCTTGTTTGCACATGGAAGATGATTCTCTGGCCTCTAAGTGGTTTGGTATTGATGTCTGCCATGTTGCTGTCTGTTGGTACTTGTACCATTCTGAATCTACAGCAACTTTCCATCTAAATGTCTCACTTTTCCAAATCCTCTCTTCATTACAAGCTGGCGCGCGCTTGAAGAATCTGTGAAGATGTAACGGTCAACCTTTGTCCGAAGCGGAAATGCAAGAACTGAGCGAATATAGATACCATCTGACGCTGAGGAAACTGTTGCATGAAATTCTGCTTCACATGAAGATAAGCTAAGGATCTTCTGTGGCCTGCTGCTATTGAACAGTGGACAACTGTTCAACGCATGGAATCCTCCTGAATGACTTTTGTTCCCCCTCCAGTCTGAATCTGAGAATGTCTCTAAGCACCAATAATGCGCACCTTTATTCACATAGCCTTCTCCTGCTTGTGGAAATTCAGCTACTAGACAATAGTCTGCTTCAAGTATCTTAGAAACATCTTCAGATGATGAAAGGACATAGTTGTTGGATCTGCCATTCTTGAAGCCAATTCTTTGACAGTAAGTGGGACGTCATACCTTTCCCGACAAAGATACATTCCTGAGCCAACAATGCTCCTGAATAGGATAGTCTTCTCTTGATCGTTCAAGATCTCTGACTTGTCTTCCATCTGAATTGAGTTGTACTTTCTCCTCAGGAAGTTGAATTCATCATCAATCCTCTTAACCTTGCTCAGGCTGGCGTCAAACCTGTCTGGAATCTTTGGAAGAAAGATTTCATTGATGTACTTTGAACAACCTGTGAAAATCAAGTTGTCAACATGATACTCTTCTCGTTTCTTCCTAGGCATGGACACTCGGCACTGAACTTGTATGTAAGTTCCTTTTCACCAAGAATTCTTATCCTTTAAAATTCACTTTCAAAGGTTTCTCCTGTGGAACTTGCAAGAAAGCGTCTTTCACATCTAGATAACCTAACATCTGAGAAAATTCCTCCTCACTGACTCTCTGCAAGAAGATTGTGGGTAGAAGTTGTTGTTCCATCTCCATGGTGATAAGGTTTCTTCCTCCAGTCATACACATTGCGTGTAGTCAGATAGCTGGTACCTTCTGTGCTACCTTCTGGTTTCTCTAGTGCTTGCATCTTCTGGAGTCTCTTCTCTTCAGCTTCATCAGCTACTCGATCTAACTACTCTTCTCGATCTTCTTCTGGTTCATGTTCTCCATCACGCCACAAGGTTCAGGTCCATTTAGTTCATCTTCTTCTTCTCCTTCCTCATCTCCTTCTTATCCTCAGTCCTCTTCATCAACTTCTTCTGCAACTGGGGATATCTCTTCATCTACATGATAGAGATCTTCTCCTGCCACCTTTACCAAGTTGATCTTAGCCTCCTTGCTTGACACTTCTGATGGCCTCAGTTTCTTAATACGACTTTCTTCTTCACGCAGCTCAAATGCTTCCCTTGGTTTTGAAGCCGCTGAGATAACCTCAATGAAGATAGTATAGGAGTGACTGGATTGGGTTGACCTGCTGGCAATGATGTAGATGGGAGTGTCTTCTCATCTGCAAAGAGAACTTTCTGCCTCTTACTTGCCGTTTCTTCTCCACTTGATTTTCTAGTTTCATTTCCATCTGGTTTCATTGCTTCTCCCGGGATTTCCAGCGGGGCTGGTTCTGGGAACAATGTTTCTTCTTTCTCTGAGTCACTTCCTCCTTCAAGAGTTTTTGCCATGACCGCTTCTGCATCTTCATCTTTGAGTTTCAACATCACATGCTCTCAAGGAATGTTTGTCTGTGCTGCTGGCTGCTTCCGCTCTTCTCTTTGTGGCAATGATCCAACCTCCAAAGTTTGTCTGGTACTCTCGCGAATAAGCAGTGAAGCTTTTGTAGATTGCTAAGTATTTGGGAAAATCTTGATCGGTTC